TTTGAAGTCCGTGAGGGCGGGAACTACTGGCCCTCGTTCCCTCCCCCACGCGAGCCATCCCCTTTACCCCGCCCGACGCCTCCCTTCGCCCGTGTGCGAACGTCGACGGCAGCTCCAACGACCCCGCCAACGCGCGACAACTGCCAGCGCCAAGGTAAGTGGGTTAGTTGTGCACACACACACACACACACACACAAAGAGAGAGAGAGAGAGAGAGAGAGAGAGAGAGAGAGAGAGAGAGAGAGAGAGAGACACACACACACACAGAGAGAGAGAGAGAGAGAGAGAGAGAGAGAGAGATCCTTCTTCTTCTTCTTCTTCTTTGTTTCTTCTTCTTCTTCTTCTTCTTCTTCTTCTCGTCGTCATCGTCTTCTTCGCTGCTTCTTCATTGTCGCTTCTTCTTCTTCTTCGTCGTCGTCGCTGCTTCTTCTTCTTCTTCGTCGTCGTCGTCGTCGTCGCTTCTTCTTCTTCTTCTTCTTCTTCTTCTTCTTCTTCTTCTTCTTCTTCTTCACTGCCCTCCAAAATGGCAAAAGAGCCTGTAGATGCAGCCACGAAGCTAGAGAAAAAATAAGACAGAGGAGGGCCACATTACATCATAATAAAACTGGGAAAGGAGATCATGCGAAAAGCTACAGCGCCTGGGAGAACGTGAAGATCAATGCACCCAGACAATGGCAAGTAATATCATTTTGCACACGAGCAAATGGTAGGTGCCCCACCTAGTGTGGTATGTGCTGCAGAACTCTTACATGTCCCTGGGTACTGCTCTGTACACCTCCCAGCCTTGGCCCTGATTCAGGCGAGTTTGCCATGTGGCTAGTACATTGCAGACCTGAGGGCATCTATAGCTCAGGGAAAGATTGGCCCTCCAGCCTACTTACCGTGTCTTTCAGAACCACAGTACCTGCCAGGTCTGAGCAACAGGACTGGAGACCCCCAGAATAGCCAGTGCAGTGTGTCCTGGTTGATTGACGACACAAGGCATGATTTGGGGCCCTTGCAAAATCTGAGATGTGTGAATATAGCGCGTCATGTATGTGCATACGTGCCGATCTGACATGCGAGATCTACCATGGATGTTTGCATATGATACTTAAGTTCATTTGTTTATGTCAAGGTAGTAGCATAGAATGGATGCTGCTCTTCGGTGGCCACACACGAAGTCAGACATGCAACCTGTTAAAGCACCACTACCGTTCCCATACATCGGCCGTGGACGAGGTCCCGTGAGTTTCAGAGGCTGGTAATGCAACAAAGGCCGCCTATGAAATTTATCAACGGCTACCCTACTAGTACTTCCAAGGCACCTTTCTCCCGGGCTGGAAATGGCCTGCGTACAAAAAAATATGAACCAGTGTGGGTCTCCTTTTGGCTGCCGCCACCAGCCATTTCGCTCTACAGGCCAAGGCCCAGAGGTTGTGGCTGCACGCACGCCGCATATATTTTTCTTTGGCTGGGAAACGTGCTACTGTTTTAATAATCTTGCCCTTCTGCAGATGTGCACTGAGTGAAAACATGCACATGTGTACCTGCAGAGAGAGGGTGTCCGACTTTATGTTCACTGCAGGGACAATAATGCAGACGTCAGGGTTGGGATTGCTCAGCATTGAATTTCCCCTAATGATGAGGCAGAAGAAACTACACAGGTATGCAGTCCACATATGTGTAAGTGCGCATTGTCAATAAGTCCCCTACAATCATCTCCAACCCACAATAAAAAACTAGCCAAAAAGTGAAGTAAAGAGTGCCGGTTCCCCACATCTACGTAGTTGAGCTGGACGTGGTCGTGCATCCGTGCATTTCATGGACACTTGTTGCACTAAAATACACAGGTCAACAAACACTGCGCCATACAATGCGGGTGGGGAGAAAAGAGACGGACCCTCATCAGATGGCCTACGACCCTCATGTCCCCAAAGGCAGTCCCTGACAATCTCACCCACAGACTGTATTCTCACACCCTACTCAGTATAAAAATATCAGGCAATGTTCTTTTTTATTTTCTTTGCAGCAGCGATTGACCAGGGCCCTATTGGGAGAGATGAGGAGAGGAGAGGAGGTCTGGACAATCTCTAGACAACGACAAGATACCCAAAAGGGCCAACCCCCATGCCACACCGCAAGTATTACCATGACCTTGAAAACCTCTCAGGACCACTTCCCATATGCTCTAAAACAATGTAACTTCCTCATGCGCACGGCTAACACTTTTCGGGTCTGCCAGCAGGGTTAAACTTCAATTTTTCAGTGTCTTCATGACTACTGTAGTGTGTGCGTGATTCTAACTTCTTTGTCCCCGTCTTCCGTTCGAGGCGGTGATTACATATACAGTATCCTATGGAAAGGACAGACGATGTGAGAGCTCAAAGTTCCTTTGGAAAACATTTATGCAGCCACATAGGCAACTGCACGATCACCGTGCAGAACAGGGATCTGGCACCGTGCACTGTCCAGATTCACACTGTGAAAGGGACATTTTCCGATTTCAGCTTTGCCGTTGCGCTGGGCTTGGGGTTGAGGGTGTACGCATGTGCATATCCATCGTAAATGCATTATTATGTTCGTGTCAGTGCTGGTCCCCGGATGGACCGGGGGGACCTTCGGCCGACCGGGAGCCTACCGGTCCAACCGGGCGGTTCACTGGCCCGGCAGGCCCCTGGTTCGATTTGGCGCACTCCTTTCGGGGGGGGGTACGGGGGATTTTTGGGCGTCCCTGTCCCCTCCCAGCCTCTGGGAGGCCGCCGCCACCAGTGGAAAAAAAAAAGGGCCCGACTGGACCCCGTTTTCTTTTGAGAACGCTCGGCCGGGCGTTTCCAAAAGAAAACGGGGTCCGGTAAGCCCCCGTTTTCAAATTTCAAAAGCGGTCGATGTCAACCGCAGATCTGCGGATCTGCGACCGAAATCGGCAGCGTTTTGAAATGTGAATCGTGGCGTGGTTTTGCGCTGCCTCCGCCCCTCCGCCCGGCCTGCCCCATGCTACAGCAACATCACACAATGTTGACGTCGTGCCATTCAGCATGCACGTCGACGTCGTCTGCTGCCACCACGTAACCAGTGCCAGCGCCCCGTCTCCAGCCCGCCATCTACCTCTCCGTGCAGCTGCTTCGCCCCGCCAGCCCGCTTTGTCACAACAGCCCCCCATAGCCGCCAAGGTAAGTCCACCAGCCCTCCTCCTCCTCCTCTTCTTCTTCTTCTTCTTCTTCTTCTTCTTCTTCTTCTTCTTCTCCTCTCCTCCTCCTCCTCCTCCTACTCCTACTCTTCTTCGTCTTCTCCTCCTCCTCCTCCTCCTCCTTCCTCCTCCTTCCTCCTCTTCTTCTTCTTCGTCTCTTCCTCGTCCTTGTCCTCGTCCTCATCATCTTTTTCCCTCCTCTTCTTCTTGTTCTCCTCCTCGTCCTCTTCTTCTTCATATTTTTCCCTCCTCCTCATCCTCTTCTCCTCCTCCTCCGCCGCCGCCTCCTCTTCTTCTTCTTCCTCTTCTTCTTCTTCTCTTCCTCCTCCTCATCCTCATCATCTGTTTCCCTCCTCCTCTTCTTCTTGTTCTTCTCCTCGTCCTCTTCTTCCTCATCTTCTTCTTCTCTTCCTCCTCCTCATCCTTGTCATCTGTTTCCCCCCTCTTCTTCTTCTTGTTCTTCTCCTCGTCCTCTTCTTCCTCTTCTTCTTCTTCTCTTCCTCCTCCTCATCCTCATCATCTGTTTCCCCCCTCCTCTTCT